ACTGCCTCGGAAACCCAAGGAGGGGGTCGCTATGAGTCGGGGCCGACTCGATGGCACATAACAACAACAACAACAACAATGTAGTTATGAAAGTTGCTTGTTTATTGAACTGATAAGGAAGAATAAATTATGTTATGGATGTCTGTTCACATTTTTGAGGTCCCAGATTTTATATCGGTAAAACTTTTTTGACATTATATAATGGTAATTGTAATCAATCAAAAGTATTGGTTGAATTGCATTTACTAATATGAAAATAATTTACAAAATTTGAACACTTTCATATATCAGTAGCCATGATATCTCAAACTAAACCAAACTCACTGCCATCCAGTCAGATCTGACTCATAGAGCCCCTTCCTTGGGTTTTCTAGGCGGTATCTATGGAAGTAGATTGCCCAGTCTTCCTTCCAAGAAGTGGCTGGTGGGTTTGAGCCACCAGCCTTCTGCTTAGCAGTCAGATGCCTTAGGCACTATGCAACCAGTAAAGGCATAAATTTTTAGTCATAATTAGATATATATTTGAGAAAGTATAGACTGATATGTTACTTTTAAAAAATGGAAATAACTTCCGATTAGTTTTCTTTTTTATGTTTTCATTGTAAAAATTCTGTCTTTCTTCTATCATGCTTTCTTAGGCTATTTAAAACCTAAAATGAAATTTCTCTTCTTTTCTTTCTTGAATCAAGATTTCTCGTATGGAATATGTCCATTCGAAGAACTTGATATACAGAGATGTAAAACCTGAGAATTTCTTAATAGGACGACCAGGAAATAAAACTCAGCAAGTTATTCATATTATAGATTTTGGTTTGGCAAAGGAATATATTGATCCAGAGACAAAGAAACATATACCTTACAGAGAACACAAGAGTCTTACTGGAACAGCTAGATACATGAGCATAAACACACATTTAGGAAAAGGTATGTGTTCTTTCTGTAAGTATAAAAGTTTGAATTCATTAACTATGCTAACAGTTTGAGTTTTCATTTTTTATTATTGTTCAATTTGTCAGATTACAGTTGCTTGTATTGTAATTTTTATCACATCTAGCTTGAAATTTTTTTCGCTTATATTTTAGTAAACCTCTAAAATGAGTAGCTCTAGAGTAAGTGAATGATAACCATCCTTAAATTGACTACTTTTTTTAAAAAATATAACTTGAAATTTTCAACTTTCCTACAGTTGAGTTGACACATTTAATTATTTCTATTGAAGAATGTGAAAGAATGCCTAATTTAAAAAAAAAAAAAACTTTTTATTGTGATTTGGGTGAAAGTTTATAGAGCAAATTAACTTTCCCTATAGCAGCTCACATACACTTTGTCTTATGACATTGACTGCAATTTCCCACCATGCAACAGCTCCCCTCCCACTTAGTTACCCCTCCCCATAGTTACCTCTTCCCTGTATCCTTCCCTCTCATGCACTCCTGTAACCTGAGCTGTCTCTCTGTGCCTACAGCCTGTCTATTCTCCAATGATTGATCTCTCCAAGGAGTATATCTACCTAATGTAAATATTCAGCTCATATGCCTGTCTTTTGTTTGGCTGGAAGCCACAGGAGTGGGTTCAGTTCTAGACCTTAGGGGCAGTTAGAGGCCATAGTCTCAGAGGTTCCATCAGGTGCTATCAGACCAGCAAATCTGAGCCCCCCCCCCTTTTTTTTAAGGATTTTGAGTTTTGTTTTCATTGTTTACCCACTCCATCCAAGATCTCCTACAGAGATCCCCCTCTGAGTGGTTGACAGTCGTAGCTGGGGACCATCTAGTTTTTCTGGTCTCATAGTCATATAGGTTGAGGATCACATGGTGTACCAGTCCCTTGGACTAATTGTTCCCATGTGTCTTTGGTTTTCTTCATTCTTGTTTGCTCTGGATGAGGAGAGACCCATCATTGCATCTAGATGGCTGCTTGCAAGCTTTTAAGATCCCAGTCGCTACTCGCCGAAGTAGGATGTAGAACAATGTTTTTGTGTAATAAGTTATGCCAATTGTGCTTGATGTCCCCTGTGACTATAGTCCTGAGCCCACAGGTCTAACTACTCAACTCCCTCTGGGTAGCTGGCTGTGACCAAGAAATGACTATAACCTTGCCCCTTGTCAGCTATACTGTATACCTGGAAATTCTTACAGCACATACAAATACACTTGTAGAAACATTGTCTTCCAACCCTATACATGGTCTTGGGCACACACCCCCCCTGCATAGACATACCTAATTGTTCAGCCTGTCCACCCATCTCTCCACCAAACATCTATCAATGTTTGCCATCACTGAGAACATAGTACTATATGTGAAAAAGGGTTCATCTTTGTTGTGTGTACCTTCCATGCACCTCTCTGTGTCTTACTCTTCCCTCATTGCCACCGTGTTGATCACTTACATTTGGTATGTTACCCTTCTCTTCACCCAAATTAATACTTGTCTCTATCTATCTAACAGTGTTCCCTCCCCTTGCATCCCCTCCCAACCCTGGTAACCAACAAAGAAAATTTCCTTCCATACATAAACCTTTCCTTGACTTTTTATAATAATGGTCTAATAAAATATTTGTCCTTCTGTGATTGACTTATTTCACTCAGCATAATGTCCTCCAAGTTCATCCACATTATGTGGTGTTTTGCTAATTGTACATTATTCTTTAGGTTGCATAGTATTCCATTGTGTGTATGTACCATAGTTTGGTTATCTGTTCTTTTGTTGATGGGCACCTAGGTTGTTTCCATCTTTTGGCTACTGTAAATAGTGCTGCGATGAACATGGGTGTGCATGTATCAGTTCTTGTCCTGGTTCTCACTTCTTTAGGATGTATACCTAGTAATAGGATTGCTGCATCAAATGGTATTTCTAATTCCAACTTTTTAAGGAATCGCCATGCTGCTTTCCACAGTGATTTTATCATTTGACAGTCCCACCAGCAGTGTATGAGAGTCCCAATCTCTCTGCATCCTCACCAGCACTTGTTATTTTCTGTCTTGTTGAACTTTGTTACTAGTGCTGGGACAAGAGGTATCTCTTTGTCTTGATTTGCATCTCTCTAATGGTTTGTGATCATGAGCATTTCTTCATATGTTTGTTGGCTAGAATGCCTAATTTTTTCCTGAATTAAGTACATATGAAAAATTCTGATTGAGACTATTGCTTTCTGATATGACTAGCCAGGGAAATAGCAGCTTGCCTATTACGCATAATGCTAACAACACATAACGCAGAGATAGGCAGATCTGGCTTCTAATCCTCGTTTAACTCTGTACTGGCTTCGTGAGCTTGGGCAAATAACTTATCTTTTAATGAGTTTCTTATTTGTGAAATGAGTAAAAATAATATGAACGATACAGGGTTCTTATGAAGATGCATTATTGAAATACATAGTAAGCAGTCCATAAATGCTGGTTTAATATCAGATTTTTTTTTTTCCTTTTCCTTTCTTAAATTTTGATTTGGGTGAAGATTTACAGAGCAAATTCACTTTCCATACAGCAGTTCACATATACTTTGTCTCATGACATTGACCACAGTTTACCACAA